GGTCAGGGTGGCTAGGGTCTGGAACCAGCTTCTAAGTGAGGTGGTGCAGGCTCCCACCCTGGGGGTTTTTAAGAGGAGGTTGGATGACCACCTTGCTGGGGTCGTTTGACCCCAGTGCTCTTCCTGCCATGGCAGAGGGTCGGACTAGATGATCTGCTCAGGTCCCTTCCGACCCTAGAAACTATGAAACCACAAGTCCTGATTGCTTTTCCCTCTAGACCAATACAGCTAGAATTTGGATACTTGACACATGGAAGATGCCGAATTTTAGCTGATTTTTTAAATTAAATCTTCATAATGGAGCAAATGGCATTTAAACCACAGCTTTCATGTGGGACACCGCTTAGAACTTGGAACCAAAGGGGGGAAGGGCAAGAAATCCTGCATTCTGCAGATTTTGCCATTAATAGATTTTAAGGCTAGAAGGCTTGATTGTGATTAGTTGCTCTGACCTCCTGCCTAGCACAACCCAGAAAAGGTCACCCAGTAGGCACCAATTAGCTGTACTGAGCCCAATAACTTGTGAACCAAGAACACCCAGGAGTTCTGACTGCTGGGCCCTATGCTCTGTCTATAAGGTGAACCTCCAAAATGCCCAATGGAAAATAAAGGTTCTTCAGAGCAAAGGCTGTCTTCTAATGTGTAACTGCATAGCATCCTACCCCAGAGTCTTGTTTCTAAGTGTGGCACAGGGTCAGGAAGCCTGTCTAGAGGCACCAGCTTCAGAGAATATATTCAAGACAGGGAAATCTGTGGCTAGGGTGGAGCTGGATTCAGGATCTCTCAGTCTGCAGTGACAGGACTACTGCACATTTCCTCAGGTCTTATCCTGATGCAGAAGAGAAAGCATTTTTAGATCTGCTTTTCATTTGTAAGACAGAAATCCCATTTCCTGCCCACCTGAGCTTGTGATTGCTCATGCCTGCCCTACCCGTGTTTCAAAACACCTTTCAAAGAGAACACAGATGCCAATGCTTATTCTCTGGGGACACTGGCAGGGGCAGGGGTGAACGGGACCCCAGGGTAGGTTGTGGGATGCTCAGAGCCCAGGAATTAAATCAGGGGGCCATTTTTAACCCAATCTATCCTCCCCCTAATCTCCCCGAACACCTGGACCTAGCTTGTCTGCCTGGCCAAAGCCCCACCTCCCAGTCAACATGTGGTAACACCTATGCCCTCAGCAGCAATGCCCAAATCACTACCCACACAACCCCACCAAAAGGCAAGATACCCAAACCTGACCATAAAGCCCAAACCAAGCAGACACGGCTACAAAGCTTCACCTTCCTCTATGCTGTGTTCAAGAAGGAGAGAAGCAACAACAGCCAGAAGAATGCAGAACACAATTTATTATCAAACACATTCACACATGGACGCTCACTCTTACATGGAGCGGGGCCTCAGGCACCCAAAACAAAGTAATGAAATGATATGGGGCAGGGTACACCCATGGTTTTCCTCCTTTTGCAATGTTCTGTCCCAAGGGCTTTTACAACTGGCCTCTGTGACCCAAGTGGCCACACCTTGGACCTCCTGAGATGTGTCCTTTTCCAGAGTTCACAGAGCGACAAGGAGAGAGGGAGACATTAATGAATAGACACTTCCACCTCAGGTGAACACTGGTTGCACATGCTGGCAGCAACAGAGCAAGGTAATCCCTGGGGAACGGGGCTCAGGCATGATGTGCGGGTGGGCAGTGCACAATGGATGTGGTGTTGCTTCCATCATCTCATCACCAGTGTCTCAAACAGCCACAGACTTGTGGTCTATTTGGGTCCCAAGCTACAGAAACTCTCCCACACAGACATGGCTGTGGCTCCTCCTTTGGGAGCTTCCTGCATTCCCAGCTGAGGGGAGATGCTAGTTCTGCTGGGCATTGAGCAGCTTTGCTGTCCATGGAGGAAGGTTGAGATGCTCAACAGTTTCCACTGACAAAATTCTCTTGCCTTTCTCACCAGAAAGCGAAGTGCAGGGGCTGGATTTCTAACTTACAGCTCAGCAGGTGGGCAACATCTATCCGTTCAGCACTCACTGGGGTAGCATACTCCATAATGATGCCTAAACACACAACAGGGAGAACAGATCAGCTTCCCATGGTCAGGGAACAAGAAGAACTCAGCCCAGAGGCAGGTCTTTAGGTCCCCTGTGCTGTGTTTGCCACCACAGGTAGGTTGTGGTCACCACGTTCACTGTTGGGTCTCATGGTCCGAGTAAAGGCTGGGAGCCAGGAAGAAAAGGGCAGTCTACACATGGGCTGCTGCCAACATCTCTGGTAAATCACAGAAAACTGCCTCTCTCCCTGGGCTGGACTGGGGGTGTAAAGGGTGCTGGGAGCCTCTCTGCACCTTCAGCACAGGGGAAGGCAGAGTGGGGATGCAGCCTTCCCTGACAAGCTGGGGTGGCAGGAACTCCAACAGCAGGTGGACATGCAGGGGGACACAGCCTCCTTCCCAGGAGGAAGAGAAGCCCAAGGAGTTTCAAGATGGGCTCAGTGAGGTAGTGCAGGGATCTCTTTGTCAGGGCTTCTCCCAGAACCAGATCCCTGCACTCAGCAGCCCAGGAGGCCCCTGCTCCTTCCCATCTGCCTTCCTCATGAAGTGGTGCAGAGCAATCACAAGCCATGCTGGGTGACCACATCCCAGACACATCTCCATCGCTGAATCACAGCACAGGGCTTGTCTGCCACGACCCCCAGCTGTACTGTCCGGCTGAATCCCTCTCAACCCCAGCCTTGCAACACTGGGAGCATCATGCTTTTGAAATCCTTTTTGGGGAACCTGAGGCACAGGCTGATTAACAGCCTGATCCTGCTCAGCAACAGCTTTACCATTCCTCTCACAAGGAAACGGGAGCACCAAGCCTTTGGTTTCCAACCTGCCAGATGGTCTGCCAGGGAGGTGGGCTCTGACAGTTCTTGCTCCAGGTGGGCAGCTTGGGAGCTGGGGAGCAGCAGCAAGCCTCGTTCCCTGAATATGCAGTTACTAGGGGCTCCAATTCTCAATCCCAGCAAAACCAAATCCCCCAGCCCCTGTGCTCACTTGTCTCTGCCCAGCTCTGCTTCCAACTCAGAAGAATCAATATGGCAGAGAACAGCCCCAGAACCCTACAGAGCCCCATGACCCCCGCTGCAGCCTCGCCTGAAAGTCCCTCCTTGCCCTTGATACAAGGGCCCATCTGTCATCCTGTTTTCTTCACTTGCTTTTCCTGCTGAAAACTTGCCTCTTCCACAGAACTTAAGATCTTCCAGTTTGGACTGGAATAAGGGGCAGCAAGTGCATCTCTCACCTCTGAAACAGCCGCAAATGAAGTGCGTTGGAATGGGGGTGGGGAGTGCTGCTCATTCACATGGTTGAAGAAGGGACTTCAGCTCACCAAGCCCCCATGGCTATATTCCCATATGTCTGTGAGACACAAAGCACCCACTTCTGCACCAAAATTACACTCGTCACACCCAACTGTCTTCAGAGACTCTCTTGGTCCTTCCTAGGGATGCGTGTGTTTCTGGACTGTTCTTGTCCTGACCAGCAGGCTGCTATGTTCCCAGATCTCAGATACTCTTGAGTTTCCCATCGGGGAGGGGGACCTGAAAATCATAGGCCACCTTCAAGATCTGGCTCAGACTCTGCAACAGAAGGAGACAGTCAAAGGGAGCACTAGAAAGGAGAATCATGGAGTGAGCAAGAGCAGAAAATTAGTGAGTGAGAAAAAATACCTCACTGCCCCATGCTTAGTGCTTTACTGCTTTGGTGCTGGAAGTTTCCATGTCTGCAATGCTGACCACACCACACTGTTCTGTTTCAGCCCCTGTCCAGCACCCTGAATACACCCCATCTGGATTACCACTCTCTGGAGATTTATATTCCTTCCAAAGGATGCCAGGAAGAGAGTGGATCACACAGCCCACAGGTGTCATAGGCTCAAAAGGTGACTGCAGAGCCAGAACCGCCAGCATCTGCCCACACACCCCAGGGACACAGGACAAGGGAGCACAGAGCTGAAGTGGGATTTTCCCCTCAGGTAAACCTGTGCTGCCTCAGGGAGCTGCCCAGGTGGAAACAAAGACAGAGCGCAGCCTGTCTCACCCAGGAGAGACACTCCACAGGCAGTGGGGTGGGAGCCATCCACTTCTATAACTCATAGCAGGGAACCCCAAATCTCTATGTTTTAAACTGCCAGGCCCTGACCATAATCCCTGCACTCCACAAGAGACAATCTCCAATCCTCCCCACCCCGTGGAGCTTTGAGAGGCCAAACCGAGAGGGAGCAGAGTAAAACTCAGCTGGCACCAGCAGTCCAGTAGTTCATTTTTTTTGTCTCCCCTTATCAGACTTTCCAGAAAATGGAAGTGGCATTCCCAATACAGCCATGTGAGTTTAGCCCCCAAGCGTAGGCAAGGCCGATCCATTAAGGAGTCTTGAACTGCACCAGGAAAGCCCCAAGAGAGCTACGGAGGTCCTAGGGCAAGTCATACATGCACACACGTGCCAGAGCACACACCCACACATACAAACAAGGGCCAATGCTGGTTTCACAGGCAAAATCTCACCATGGTGACATGAAGATTGTCAAGCCCTCCCTTGTACTGCTGCGGGAGACAGGAGCCTCTCAAAAACAGTGTCAGGATGCCTCTCATGGTGGAGAAGGAGGCCCATTGCAGGCCCCAGCGCCTTGACCGCATCCTGCTGCAGCTGCAGAAAAGGAAGGCAGGACTGAGTCCCTCTGACAGACTTCCTGGAAGGTTGCTCTGGATCAGGAAGAGGTACAGCTTTTCTCCTCAGGTCAGCAGCATTCTTGATTCATCATTGGACCAGCCCTGTCTGCATGGTTCCTACCTATGGCACCTGGGAGGAGCTGTGGGATATGGCCTTGGGGCTGGCTCATGGATCACATCTCCCTGCTGTGCTGATGTGCCCAGATTCATGTGCAGAGAGTGAACTCCTCCTTGCTGTCATCCCCCTGGGCACCGCAGGAGTCATGCCTGCAAGGAGATGCCCCCTATCCCAGTGCTCACTGGCACCCACTAGCACACATAACTGCACACTGCCTGTGGGCAAAGCAGATTCTCAGGCACATGATATGAGCCCCTGAGACTGAGTCTTCTCTGCCAGGACTGCACAGACAGGCAGACATAGTGACATGTGACAGCTGTGGTACAGAGCTAGAAAGACAGCAACTTTCACCTCCCGGTCCTTGCTGCTCAGCCAGCTGCTGCTCATGAGGTTAAAGAAAGGGAACACGTGGAAACAATAGTCAGCTGCACGACAGCTGGGAAATGGGCTCTTATCCCTGATCTGGAATTTCACGTTGGCACCCCGGGCAAAGCCTCCCACAACTGCAGAGGGGGAGAAAAGACAAGACGTTTGCACAGGAATATTGGGTTGAGGAGGTGATGCTGCAGCAACAGGACATACAGGCCTGGTGGTCATGACAAAGTCCCGGCAGCCCCCGTGATGCTTGGGGTAGATGGAGAATTTGGGACAGGTGGGGCAGACACCAGGGTTACAGCTAGGATTAAATCAGCTCCATTTGCCCCAGAGCCTAGAGGCAGCTCCAGCCTTTTTGATGGTTCTTGGGAAATACTCTGCAAGTCACGAAAGGCCCAATCCTGCTCACTGCTCAGAGCCTCCAGGCAGCTCAGGGAGGGAGGGTTCTACACTTTTTGTTGGATCTGACCCAGGAAGCACAGTGGAAGCCCTGCTTACCAGTGTGGGACACTCCAGTGGGGCCCAGGCTCTGTGTTAGGTCATGGGTGCCCGCTGGGGGCACCTGCAGGAGGGGCTGGCACTCACCTCCACACAGCACCTACTTTATCTGGTTGGTCTCCACCAGCCTCAGCACAAAACACAATTTGCTGAGCGTCAGCACAAGGAAGGGCACAGGCCTCAGTGCTGCAGGAGGAGGATACATCATGCAGTTAGAGACATTCCTGTCCACCTTTATCTCTCACTTTCAGGAACATGCTGGGTGATCAGCACAGAGAGGCTTTGAAGATGTCAGAGAAACCCCAGTGACCTCCCCTATGTAGGGCAAATCTCTGTCTATTGCCCCTCCCATGCCCAGATGCAGGAGAGGAGGAGGGAGTGGAGGGCCCTACCCACCTCAGGGATAGAAAGAGGCCTTTCTCAGAACATCTAACACAGTCTCCAATGCTTGGAGGCATGTCAGTGTTCAGAAGCTAAAGACTTGATCCTGACCTGGTATCAATCACCCAAGCTACAGTCCAGGCCACCCAGTAACACTGGTTTGCACAACTGAAAATATGGCTCTAGAAAAGCTGATTTTTAGTTATTTAACTCATATACAACCCCTGTCAGATTGACTATGATCACTTCTCAATTAGCAGATGAGGATGAAGAGGCAAAGTGAGAGTAAGTGACAAGTCTAGAAGACGTGCTGATGCAGAGAACTGAACCGAGACCTCTCATGTGTCAAACTCTCACTGCAGATGGTTTGCTCTTGCTTTACCTGAGATTCATGGAGGGATAGGGAGCTTTTCCCAATGATACCTGAATGGTTGCATGTACTGCTAAATGAATAGGTGTGATTAAGTTCAGCATGTGCCTGCGTACACTGGAGGACATGCAGGACAAGTAAAATAAAGATGCGATTGGAGGAATTGTACAAGAAGGTGGAGCCATTATATTTTTTATGTGAATACAGCATCTGGCTAAATAGGCTTTTTGCTTCTGTCAAAGCACAGTGAGAGGCTGACACCCTCTCTGCACAGGGCTACTTGCATAAGCACTTTTCTCTGAACTTAGCAACAGCAAGGTCTGTGATCTTAGGTGTGCTATATCTCGATTCCATATCAGGAAAATTCTGCCGAATTCTGCCATGCTATTAAGGCTGGCTGTGAGGCATCTTATAGGGTGCCATGCACAAACAGTCTTCTAAAATAGTGCCTGCTAGTGGTAGGTCAATCATACAGCATGTGCAACTGAGTTTCCCTTGATTATTGCATGCTTCTGGCTTGAACTTCAGAAACGGACATCACCCTTTCACTCCTGCTGCAGGTACTCAGTCCCTCTGAAAACTAGGCCATAATCTTAACTCCTTCTTTAAAGAAATGGGGTCTCTTCCATGTGCAATTTCCTCTTAGCTCATGCTCTGTCCTCAGATTTAAAGAAGGAAGGAAGTCTGGTTTGGTGTCTGGGGCTATGATTCTAGAGAAACTGGATTAACATTCTCAGTTCACTTCACGCAGACCTCTGGGGACAGGTGTTGGTGCTGCCTTGGGACTGGTGTGAAACAATACTCTGGATTACCAACCTCATTCAGAGCCTTGTTGTTGCTGTCTCTACTCATAAAAAACATGAGGTACAGTGATATGGGATGATGAAAGGCTTTGCATGGAGTTAACCAACTCCCACATAATCTGATCTTCCCTTTGGATCTCCCACTTCTCGGAAGGAGGTAAGTATTAAAGGCCTCCATTAGTACCCTGCTGTCCTTCCCTCCTTGTGAATGGGAGGTCAAAGGCAGTGCACAAACTCCCACCAAAGGCAATACATCCTACACATGTGCTACTGGCATTTCTCTCTTATTTAGTAGCTTCATTTGTTCTTTTTTGCTTATTGGAATAGAATGGTAACAAGTTCCTCTGACCTGGATATACAAGTAAAAGTGCAAGGTCTAACCATCAGCCACCTGGCCTATTGCCTGCCCCTCAAACTTATGAAGCTTGGTGAAGCTCTGACTTTGTTCAGAGGGATGGGCAGGCTCCAGACCCACCCAGCATGGGAACTACAGCCACTGTTAGCAAATAGTGTCCAGGAAGGAGAAACAGGAGATGGCGTACTTAGAATATCACTCAGACCAAGGCAGTAGGTTTTCCCAGGTGTGTAGAAGTACCCTCAGTTGAGCTGGCTGGACAAATGCAAACATGCAATTATCCATCAATCCATAGCAGCACTGAGCTGCTCTGCTCAGTAAGTTGAATTTCACCTGCAACACATATATTTGTATACAAACCAAAAGAAAGCAGTTTTTCCTGCCCAAGTGCAGGAGGGCTGGACCCGATAATCTTATAAGGTCCTTTCCAGCTCCTAATTTTTTTCATGGATCCATAGATGTTAACAAACAAACGCAACCTATATTTTTGGCCTTGCTTTTTCTGCTCTGTTCTGTTGTGACACAGGATCGCCATGAGTTTCTCCTGATCCCACAAAAGCAAACATGGCAAAATGTCTGTGAAGGAGGCAAATTTCAACCCTAATTTTTGCCACCAAGGAGGCGGAATAACTTCACAACCCGAGGTGAGCAACTGATGGTGGATCAGCTTGGGTCCCAAACCACATGTAACTGAAACCTGCCACCTTGCCGGCATGGGCTGGTTGTTTCAGACTGCTTTTTCTGATACACCAGTGTTTTTACAGAGAGATAACTAATACATTATCCATATCTCACCATAAATTCCTATGGGATGGCAAGGCACCTGCAGTGTTTGCTGCAAGAGAAACGTGCGAGATCATCACCATGCTCCCCATCCACATTTCAGTTTGCCCTATTTGCCCTGCATTAAAATAGCAGTGCCTTATGGCCACAGGCTTTCTGCAGCAGGATGGGGAATGGGTGTTAGCTACCTGCAGTGAAAGCACACCTTTTTTGCAATTGGAACTGTAGCACCTGATAGGACAGACATTAGGAGAAGCTACCCTGTCTGGGTAGTGATGCACAAGCCAGCTGACAAATGTTTGCCGTTCATTCCTCTGTGATGCCATCAGTTTCTTGGCATATAATACACCTGCTGATAGCTCTGGAATGTAAGGTTTTGGTAGTTCTTTTCCTCCATGGTCCCATGCTTTCCCCACAGCCCAGCTTCAAAAGTCTCCCTTAGCATGGAGACAGTGTTCCTCCTGCTGAGTGCATGGCTGGAACGACTGTCTCGCTGTCACAGTCACTTGAAATGTCCTCATCCTCTGAAAACTGTAAAGTCTGAAGACCAATGTCCTGGGGAGGGAGCTCACTGGAGTCCTCAGAGACTCATACTTTCAAGCAAGCTATGTGCTCAGGGAAGGGAAGCCTCTCCAGGTCAGGGTAAAAGTGGCTCCTTGAGTGAGATGTGGGTCCTCAGAGGAAGGGTTAAAAAATGAAGACCTTACATCAGCACAGTCACGTGAAGGAAGGCCTCTTGTTGGCACCTGTCCACATCCATATTACACTGCTTGTATCCTTCTGTTGGATATCTGGCATCTCCCAAGGAGGAGCTGTCTGAAAGGGAGGTTCTCTCACTGTCTCGGATCCCCAAAGTGCCCTCATTTTCCCTCCAGACAACGAGAGAACTCGCACCTTGTAAGGTTGGGCACCGACCCCCCACCCAGCTGGAAGACTCCTGATTCTGAGCTGGCCTCCAACCCTTTCTGACTCATGCCAGACACTCAGCAATTTGAGTCCCTCTTTGGGAACCGAGGCATTTCAATGTAGGGTGTGAAACTGTAGTTGTCCTCCTCCTCCAACAAGAAAAGGAGAGAAACTGCTGGTGATATGTTGTTGTCCCTGATGAAGCTTGGCTTAGTTTGCTGACTTTGTCATTGGATCCAGTTTCCCAGAACTCCAAGTCATACTGAAGACTTTGAAACTCACTCTTCAGGCAGGAGGCCAGGGGGAAAGCAGCATTGACAGTCAGTGAGTTTTCCTTTACTTTCACTCCTAGGATCGGAGGAGCCAGCTCCACTATAATTGAGTAACCAGGTGTCAGAACAGTGCTAGCTTGTGGGCTGGAATGCAGCTAAAAGCTGCCATCTGAAAAAGGCCACACAGAAATCTCCCCTAGTCAAGGTACCTCACAAGCCTCAGCCTCTTAGATGGATTCTGACAGTGAGAGGTCAGTGCTCTAACTACCTGGTTTTTGGGCTGCAATAGCCATTACCTCATGATGAACATGATAGGCAGCCCTTGGTCCTCCACCATCCATCTGACATGTCTCAATAAGCACTAGAGCTGTGAGAAGCTTCGAGTGCTGATTCGATTCCAAGGAGATTTGGTCAATTCAACAGCTGAATCCAAACTGAATCAGGAGATCAATTCAAAGGTCACAACTGATTTGAAGCTCTCCAAATCAATTAGGAAGAAGATTCGGAGAGCTTCAGAGATTTGGGCACTCCCCGCTTGCTGCCACAGGGAGCTGGACCCAGATGCTGTATTCACATAAAAAATATAATGGCTCCACCATCTTGTACAATTCCTCCAATCACATCTTTATTTTACTTGTCCTGCATGTCCTCCAGTATACACAGGCACATGCTGAACTTAATCACACCTATTCATTTAGCAGTACATGCAACCATTCGAGTATCATTGGGAAAAGCTACCATAGTTAGGATGCATCTGCATAGAGGGCAGAGGGGGATGGAGGAGGGGAGAGGGGACCACAGGGGGGACCCCAGCTAGGTCTCATCCCCTGCCTGCTCCCCCAGCCTGCCTGAGCACCCCCC